CTTTTCCCTGAGTGCCTGTTTCCATTATAGAAGAATAATAATAAAGGAGCAAGGATCTAACCAATTCACTCCCTTGCAGATTTTGGGGAAGTCTGGAAGGGAATATTTGCCTCTAATCTCTGTCACTCAAGTCCTTCTCTATCCAAAACTTCTTGAAAGGGAAGAACAAAAGGAAGTAAGGGGAAAAAAAAAAGTATTCTTTCAGTGGCAGATAATTATCTGATTCAGAGTGAGATTCAGAGTGAAAGACTCCCAGTTGACAAGCTGTTGACACTAGTGGACAGGTAAGGTACAAATTGATTATCAGGTTGTTTTCTTTACTCTGCGTGGAGCAGCTCTCTGACACGATTGGGTATTTCTTTAGCTAACATTTAATAAAAATTCATAGAGTGAATCTCTGAATATTTAGAGTTCATGGTAAAGGTGCTGCCAAATCAGTCATTTTGACTAAGCCACACTAGCGCAGGCCAGCAAGAAGCAACTAAACTGGTGACAGACCCAGAGGAAACCATCAAGGGATTGAACTCCAGATCTCCAAGCCTGTCTCACACAGGGACTGTTGCAAAATCCTGAGCATGGGCAGACTGAGGCTAGAGAAAGTAAAGCTCAAACCCTGAGCTGCTCTAGCTTACGGTCGTTTCTCTCGCATCTAAATCCAAAACTACTGACATTTGACTACAGCTACTAGAAGGCATTTTCTGTAACATGAAACACTAACCAGGTCCAGTATGCTTCTGTGGGAAAAGCCTTCCTGGCTGGCACTGGACTTGAAAAGTGAAACACAGCAGAGAAGAACCAGAAGCCTTTCGACATCATTGCATATTTTTTGAACGTTGTGTTTGGGCTCCTTTCATAGGGAGCAGAAAACATCGCGGTTGGGGCATCTGTTATTCTTTCAGAAGAAGCTGGATGACTCAAAACAGCTAAAAAAGGTTTGTGCTTGGAGAATTGCTTACAGACCGTAGCTTTGGGCTACTCTAGAGTCTATTCAATGTTTCTCCATTATCTGTCTTCTTCTTTTTTCCACCTTTTGTCATTGTCATGATAGGGACAGATTTCCCCAAGTGTCTGTTCCCACTTTCTCTGTTGGAAGTTCACAGTAAATTTTCTTTCTCTAGACTGTGAAACATGGGGTGAAACTAGCAGAGGCTAAAGAGCCTGGTGCAGACGTGTGGGGTTGATGTGTAACAGTTTGAACCTCTTTGGAGGAAGAAAGACTTCACATACACCATGAACTGGTAAGAAGGAAAAGCAGCTACATGCATTAAATCAAGAGACCTGGCAATGATGAGATCCTGGCACTCCTTAGCGTAACCAGTCTGTGACTGGTTACATGAAAGCTGTAAAGATGAAAGGATGATGTAAGACTGTGGACCTGAGATTTTAACTGAGGAAAAAAAATAAAATAAAGAGATGGGGAAATGTGAACTGCATAGGCAATCACATCGGAGTTGCCAAGAGCTAGGGAGGAGATGCCCAGGAAGATGTCTGGAGAATTTCACAATAGTCTTTCCTTCCCTCAGCCTCCTTGGCCTGCTTAATGTTGCTGCCACCACTTGTTTAGCAGGAGCCTGGAAGCGAAGGCAGGAGCCAGTCCACCAGTTTGCAGTAAAGCCTAACACCTCTTGGATTTTAAGTTCTCCATTGTTAAGTTCTCCATCTCCATGACAGCATAAGAACAACTAAAATGCCAGTGTCAGAAGCAAACTAGCACAAAGTGGAAAAGATGAAAAAGTTATTCCATTACAGGAGGGCAAACTTATTCACCCAGCTGATCTTTAACTTGTTTTGACCCAGTAGCACTTCTTCTCCCTTAATCTAGGGTCTAAATAAAAAGGTATGTCCCTGTAAAATGTTTGAAATGCAGTTTGTTTATCCTCCGTGGAAACCACTAAAGGAAAGAAAAGCTCCTGTTACAAAATCTCACATTGCTGCTCCTTGGAAGTCAACTAGTGGTTGCCTTCTCCTCACTAGCGGGTTACCTGCTACAAGCGGGAATTTGGTGTCCACAGATTTCAAGCTCAACTCACATAATATTCTTACCATGCTGATCAAAGCTTCACCACAAACTTGCCACAGCAATCTCCCCAAGCAGCATGCCTCACCAGATGTTGAGAAAAGGCCACCAGCTTCCATCTGCCAGAAGATCCAGCTTAAAACTCAAGAGTACTAACACAAGGCTATTTTTCCATTTATTCTCTTGGTGTCTGCTTAACAAGGACGTGCCAACTATATGTCCTAGAAGACTAGAAGGTGCTAGAGACCAGCCTTGTTTGGTGCTAACAGCTAGAAGAGTGCAGAAAGCCTATCAGTCTACAAAGACCTGCAATCCTCTTGCCTTCTTGGCTTAGCGCAGCGCCCACTCTTTAGTTGGACACTCAGGGATAAGATTTCTCAACTTTCCTAGATTACTAAATCTATGATGTTAGCATGGCTGCAATGCTCATCTTTATTTTCACAGTGCTTGCCTCCTATAGCACTGTGGGGCACAGACGTCTTGAGACTGTCTCCTGTCCTCTGGGTCAGTGCAGCGGTGAGCCAGGCAAATTTTGCAGTCTGAACACTTCAAATACAGATTCCTTTTCCCCTTTCCTTTGTCTCAGTTGGAGACTAATAATGTTGTGTAAATCAGATTGCTGTTTTTATGCCGAGAATTGAAATAAGTATTTTAAAAATTGAATTTAGGAGTCTTGGTATTCCCAAGTCTTTCTACTTATTAAAAAAAAAAAAAAAAAAAAAAAGACTTTATCCTAATTTCTCAGGGCAATTCAGCACCAGGTGACTTTTCTTACCTGGATGTCAATCTAGGTTTGCACTGATGACTGTCTTTCCTCACTTAAGCTCGCCAGCACACGTGACTTTGCCTTGTAAGTAACAGCAAGCAGTCAGCACAGGAGTGCTCAATATGAAATGGCTCACAGAGCTAGCAGACGTGACTTGAGGAGCACAGGACAGTTGCAACACAGTGATTTTTTGCCAGCATTTTACATGTTTAGAGAAGTTTGGAAGTGTGACCACTTGTTATGTGATGGTGTATATATATAATGCAAATAATATAGTTAGAACTTTTGCCTTAGGTGCCTGAAAGCTTCCATGAACGCCGCAGTGCAGAATTAACAACATGGTTCAGCCTCAAAGTGGCCACGCTTTAATAACAGGTAGAGTAGGGCTTATGTATTGCCAAGGTATCCTAAAGAGGTAAGTGAATTAAATAACATTTGTCAAGTGCTTCGAGATATTCCAAGAAAATGTTCCATAAAAGTACAACCTTCTATTTCAGACAAAATATTGTTTTAATTAATCTTAGTCTCCGATTTTGTGCTCGGGCTATTCTCGCAATGGCTTTTTGCCAAATTTTGATGTGGGTAACGTGGGCTCACCCACTCACCGTTCCAGGAACCTATATCAGTTTATCATCCAGTCCAGAGTATACAGTTGTATTGCTGCAGACTTTTGATAGTGCTCCAGCTGCAGATTCGGCCCTGCCTCTACTTAGTCCATATTCACGCTGTGAAGATTTGCAATCTGACTGTAGCTTGTCAACCAGCAGAGAAAGGGAAAAATCCCAACAGTGAGAGGTGCAGCCCTCCAGGAACTCTGCATCTAGGGAACACAGTAGGAAGAAATGTCACCACAAGAAGGTGGTGTCACCACAAGAATTTTAACAAGCCAGATTAGACTGGAGAATTTCAGGCAGACTGTGTTTTTAATCAAAAGAAAGTGGCTTTTTTTTTTTTTTTTTAATTGGATTAAAGACATTCAGAAAACAAACAAGCAACCACCACAGTAAGGAGCTGTTACCTAGGATGTCTTTGAATCCTAACCTTTCTAGGGTTCAAAACTCCGGGCTGCTCTCCATCATCAAGGCAAAACTGCAGCCCACATGCCACACTTACACATTTTGCAGCAGGATTAATGCCTTTAATACTCTTCGTGTCTCTCCACTGAGCTACCCGCCACAACCAGCCTCATCGCCGTTGCTGAGAGCAGACTCCATCAGGTCTCCTCATGACGTGACGGCCCGAAGGGCACCCTGAGTCACAGCCACCAGTCACTTGGGGGCAAGTCACACCTTGTGGCACTGCTACTAATTACAGTGCCTTTTCACACCGCTTCAAACGAGGACTGACTTTCCAGGGGTCCGCTTTTCTTCCCCTTTCTTCTCATTCTCTTCCCCCTCCTCATTTTCCCTCGCTCCCCGTAGGCAGCGATATTTTTCAAAACAATAACGGAGCAAGTGCATGGGTTTAAATTTACATTTTTGTTTGTAAAAGAAATAACCAAAACACACCAATAGCAGCTAACTTTAAAAGCGCAAAGCGCATAATTTTCACTGTTCCCCCACTGTCTCTCATGCTGAACCATTTCCCCTCCACCCACACCTTCCACTCCATTAGAGTCGATGAGACACCTCTCCTGCACCTGCCACGTTCCAAATAAATAAATAAATAAATAAATAAATAAATAAATAAATAAATAAATAAATAAATAAATAAATACCCCCAAGCCCGCCGAGGGGCAACGCCGCCTCAACCGCGGCCGTTGGGGGCGCGCGGTGGGAGCGGCTGTTGGGGGCGCGCGGCGGGAGCGGCCGTTGGGGGCGCGCGGCCGTTGGGGGAGAGCGGCGGGAGCGGCCGTTGGGGGCACGGCGGGAGCGGCCGTTGGGGGCGCGCGGCCGTTGGGGG